TATATAACATTTATACTGTCTGAAAATAGAAAAATACTTGCCTTTTAAAACATTTCAGTTTGTATAATTTCTTTTGTGAACCATATAAACTTGACTGTGTGCTATTTTTATTTCTTAGATCCCAAACCCACAGAATCCATCATCATCTGCTGCCAGACAAACTCTTCACTCCTTCTGCAGTGGACCACCCCGCCTATGATGGATGGTGCTCCTAACATCAGCTATTTCATAACCTACCAGTCTGTAAATGGGAGCAGTAACAAGCAAACAAAAAACTCCACAGAAAATAGCACCGAGCTGTCTGGCCTCGCATCTGGAACCTTGTACAACATTGCCATAACAACTATTGGACCCCAAAAATTAAACAGCATCCCTGCTTTGAACTCTTCTTACACTTGTAAGTTTTTGCAGGAACAACTAACAACTCTTTGACATAAAATATATTTGAGCTTATAATTTTTAATGGAAATCTTCTCTAAATTAATGTTTTTCTCCCCATCTGGTTGGTTATTCAGTACCAAACCCAGTACAGAATGTTGTAGCCTTCACCAACTCTACCACTTTGATCAAAGTGGTCTGGTCAGAACCGCTGGGTGTTCAGCAATATTTCCAATACTTGGTTGAGACCTATAATGAGACGGCACTTGTTAACTCACAAACAGTCAACCTTACCAGCTGTACTGTACCTAATCTGGAGCCAGGTTCAAGATACTTTATCAACGTGACAACAAGGGTTGCACAAGTAGCTAAAGCCACCCCACAGCAGGCGTCCTGTTATACAAGTAGGTCTGAAAGAGAAAGCTGTAACAATACTCAACTTCAAATGTGAACGTACTATCTATTTTTTGGTTTTCATTTCCGTAACCCTTTACTGTTTTGCTTCAGATCCCAAAGCAGTGACTAACTTAACAACAGCCATGAACACAACATTCATCAAGCTCACATGGCTCAGACAAAGTGATTATAAGTCCTCCTACTCCTATGTGGTGGAAACCTTTAAGAATAATGAGTTGGTTTACAACAATTCTGTCAAGAATGAGAGCATCATCCTCAACAACTTGATCCCAGGGACTTTGTACACATTTTATGTGTCCACGGTTGTAGACAGAGCCATGTCTACGAAAAGAAACACAACGCAATACACAAGTACGTCATAAACTTTTTTGACCATATTAATGAGGTTTTCCTTCATGTAAACTGGATGTTTTGTAACTTTTTTTCATTCAACCTTTATTTAGACAGATTAATCACATTGAGCTTGGAGACTCATTTACAAGTTAGACCTGTTTAGACAGACAATAAAGTAATGAAAGTGGCAACAAGTAGGATTTGGAAGCAAAAAAAAAATCCTAACAGACTCTCAATCCATGGCTGAGGACAGATAGTCTGTAATTGAAAAAAAAACACTCCGCACACAAGCACATAGTGACGCAGACATTCCGCAGGGGAGGGGAGACGACAAGAGTGGTGAGGGTGTTCAAGGTGTTCACTTGAACCTCTTTGTTGCACAGAAACTTTGTTGAAAGTTTTGTCACAAAAATTTCCCTCAACATTTCAGTAGTTCGCTTGTCTCATTTTAAAATCTTTGTCCAGAGCAACAACAAGCTTTATGAAGTCCCTTCGATGACTGAATGTACCTCCAGAATATTGTGTAAAATTCCTCAACTGGTCAGAGAATAAATTTCAAAATGACACTTCAGGATTTTCTTTTTTATATATAAATAATTTTCTCCGAAATTGAAATTTGTTTAGATTTTTTTTTATCTTGATTTTTGCTAACTTTTCTGTTTTTGTTTCATCTTGTTCAATATTTGTTCAAGTTCAAATTAGTTTTTCACCACCTCCACTTGAGTAATTTTAAAAAGTGTATTGCACATTAATTGTAAATACTATTTTCTTACATTTAGTATAATATATATATTTTTTATATTTTAGTTCCCGAAAAGGTTTCCGCCATTACAACTATGGGAACCACAACTACTCTGTCAGTGACCTGGACACAGGCACCTGGGAAAGTTTCATCATACGTTATCACACTTTACAAAGGCTCCCAGACTATAAACCAGACCGATCTCACCAATGACACTAAACAGATTTTATATGAGGGTTTAATGCCAGGAGTACTTTACTGCATGGATCTGTTCACTAAAAGTGAATCTGTAACGAGCAACAATGCAAGCACCTGCAATGCAACATGTGAGTAACAATAAAATCATACCTTTATGTTGTTTATTTTACTTTGTGGTATTTGTTGTATAAATGTGTTTTTTGCTTTATTTGTTCTCCTGCTTAGTTCCCAACCCACCTGGCCCCATCATGGTGGACTTTCAGACAGTCAGCTCCATCAACTTTACCTGGTCCCTTCCAGACAACATGGATTATCAGCAGTACAACTTCAGCGTGTCCATCAATGGCACCGATAGCTCCTCTCTGATTAAGAACAACTGGTTCTGGTTGAGAAATCTCTCGTCAGGAAGCCCCTACAGTATTTCTGTAAAGACTGTTGGTGTGTGGGGCTATTCAAGTACAGCAAAGATGACAAGAAACTATACAAGTGAGTAGACACAACCAGTTGATCACAGATATTTTCTTCAGATACTATATATTATTGTTATATTGTTTGTATTTACAGTAGTCCCTTGTTTATTGCGGGTGTTACATTCCAGACCCCACCCCCACCCCCCCAATAAGAGAAAATCTACAAAGTAGCGACGTTATATCTATTTTAGTATTTATATATATATTTTTAAGGCTTTATAAACTCTTCCCACACTCTTACAATGTTCAAAACTCTTAAACCCACGTCATTTTAACAACATACGTACAGTACTGTCTATGTAGCTACTAAATTTTACTTACCAGGCTCTGCAGAACAGGAGCGGCTCTTGATTCCAGTTCGGTTTTGGTTTGGTCCGACTCGGTTCCGTTTCTGCAGACCTACCCTGCAGTGACAAAGATCACAATGCTCTAAACTCTTAAACCTACTAATTTAAATTAAACAAAAGCCCAAGACAAAAACAACTGGACTTTATTTGTAACAGAAGATGTTTTGCTTCTCATCTGAGGATAGCTGCAGGCAGCCTAACATGCATGTTTTTGGTCTGTGGGAGGGAACCGAAGTACCCGGAAAAAACCCATGCAAGCACGAGAAGAACGTGCAAACTCCACACAGAAAGACCCCAGGTCCAACCGGGTATTGAACACAGGACCTTCTTGCTGTGAGGCAACAGTGCAAACCACTGAGTCGTCGCGCTGCTGTACTTATTGACATGATGTGCTTTTGAAAATAACTTTATTTTAGGAAGTCTAAATGATGAATTATCTTTATAAAATATACTGAACCAAACAAAGAAACAGGACCCGTGAATCATGTTGTTAAGCAAACAATGGATTTTGGGAACTGTTGTATCCCATATATTAATTTTTTGGGAAAACAGTCTTGATTACACTTCAATGTTTTTATTTTGTTGATGAGCCAGATAAGAAATAAAAAGTATTACACATGTTAGTCACATTATGCTAAATTATTGCTACAGTATTGTTTTTGCAGTCTTTGTAGTTTTGATTTCAGCTTACAGGACAATATTTTCTGACTTTCAAACACTCTTATTCGCTGCTGGCCCACTGATCTCCTCTGTCCCATTTTTTCAGGACCATATTCTGTGACTAATCTGAGACAGACAGAAATCACCATGCACAATTTAACTTTAAAATGGGACCAGCCAGAGATCAAATCGGACTACTCTTATCAGGTGCAGGCCAACAGCACTCCTCCAGATTTACCGGGATCTTTAAACATGACGCCTTTGACAGTCTTTACAGTCACTGGACTTTATTCTGGCAGCAACTACAGCTTCACTGCCACTACACTAACAGCAGATGGCACTCGAGCAGAATCTGTGACTGCATCCTACTTCACACGTATGTACAAATAGGCAGAAATTAATCAAATAACAGCGTATCAAAGTAGATGTTTGCATCATGTTATTTCTTTATCTTTTTGATTTTAGGACCCTATGCTATCACACAATTGACAGCATCAACATTAAACACAACTGCTGTCCATCTATACTGGACCAAGCCAAATCAGTACAAGAGTAACTACAGATATTGGGTGAAGACGACAGGATGTGGCTTCCAAAATGTGACATCGTCAGTGGAAAGCGTAGAGATCTCAGAGCTCACCCCTGGAACCAACTGTACCTTCTGTGTTTTTGTCATGGCAGCAAATGGAATTCAAGGGGAAGCAAGATGCACCAATAACTACACAAGTAAGACACTACCTTTTGTTTGTCTTTTTTTCTATTGTCATTTTTGTCCTACTTTAATTTTTCCATTGATATAACAGAACCTGAGCTGGTGCTGCCTGCCGTCTGCAATGAGGGCTCTAACAGTTCGGTTAAAGTATCGTGGACACACCCTTCTGGAAATGTGGAAAAGTATATACTTTCTCTAAACAGCACTTCGAAAAGTTTCTACAACACAGTGCAGCTGGATCCTACCAGTACCACCTCCACGTTTTACAACCTGTCTGCTGGAGTTCTTTACAGCGCCATGTTGACCACATGCAGTGGACCCTTCTGTGTTTTATCTGAATTTGTCACTAATGCAACATGTGAGTAAAAATGTTAATAACTTTCTTAATTTTTCTGATATCAATTTCATATTAAAAAGAACTATCAGCTACCTGTCATTACCACAACAATATGTATAACTTCTCTGTTGCTATGCAAGTTCTCTTGCTAGAAATCTCCCATCTGCAGTGATTATAATCATTTTATCTGGAATCATTGGAATTTTTGAATATGAGTTATGGTGAATATGACAAGTTATTCAGTTTAGGAACAAAATAAGATGTTAGTTTATCTAAACATTGTGTAGAAAGAAGGGTTCCTCACCCAGAAAATTTTGAATAAAGTAGATGCGATTTCCTGTATTTTGGTGTATTTTAATGGATTGTTAAACATCTGCGTTTACCTACCTTACATTTGTAAACACTCCACTTCTGTCAAGATGCCCCCCACCCCCCACTTGCTTGATGGTTCTGAACCCAACTCCACTGAATTCACTGTCCAACTCTACATGTGAGACCTCCAGGCGCCTCCTCTGTCTGTTCATGGCGGCTGCCTGTTGGCTCCTGCCTGTATCCGACTTCCTGGTTAGCTTGGCACTCACCCACACCACTCGCTCGCTCCTGTTCCAATCTCGATTGCCACTACCTTCAGGTGCTTCAATTCTCAGTTGTTCAGCTAAGGATGATGAGAAGCCATTTTTTTATGAAAGTAAATTGGACTGTCTTTTCTACATTTTGATCGCTGTTATTTTGACAAATTAGCGCCATTGTTTTGATATGTAATGTGAATATACATCAAACATTTATCTTGTATTTTTTATCTTGTATTTTGAATAAATAATCAAAATTTGACTAATGACCCACTTAAACAGTTGAACTGATTTGCAGTTTAGTTGTGCTGTTTAATTATAGTTTTAATTTTTTTTAATAAAATTGTGCGATGACTTTGGACTTTTAGGGGTTGAGATTTTTTTAAGGGGCGGAAATGCTTATTTGAAGGGGCAGTGGTATGTGATGTTAAGTAGTAAGTGGTTGTTGTGTTTAAAATTAGGGTTTATAAAAGTATTTTCAGTTTACATATCCAATATAAGGGCAGCACGGTGGCGCAACTGGTAGAGCTGCTGCCTCTCAGCGAGCGGGTCCTTGGTTCAAACCCCGGTCCAGGGGCCTTTCTGGGTGGAGTTTGCATGTTCTCTCTGTGCATGCGTGGGTTTTCTCCGGGTACTCCAGTTTCCTCCCACAGATCAAAAACATGCATGTTAGGCTGATTGGTAACTCTAAATTGTCCCTAGGTGTTAGTGAGAGAGTGAATTGTTGTTTGTCTCGTTTGTCTCTATGTGGCCCTGTGATGGACTTGCGACCCGTCCAGGGTGTACCCCGCCCCTCGCACAGTGATTGCTGGACATGGGCACCGGCAACCCCCGTGACCCAAAATGGAATAAGCGGGTAAAGATAATGGATGGATGGATGGATATCCAATATAAGTTTTATTCGTTCAGGGCAATCATACCTTTATTATTAGTAAGCCCAAAAGTTACTGGATCCAAGCAAACAGTTACTGGAATGCACACTGTCAAAATAAGAGAGTTCCTGGATCCTGTTCTGGCAGGATCTGGCTCAAATTAAGCCCTGGTAGAAAGATGGCAAAACTTGGATGTAATGAACACATAGTTTGTGATAATTTCTATTTTTAAACTCAAAATTTTCACAAGTGATAGCTTTTAGTGTGCAGCACTGTTTGATTAGTCTTTACAGTTTTTTTACTTCTTAATGTTGTTGTTCAAAAGTAAAAGAATCAGCTTGCCAAGGTCAATGTGTTGCTTTTTGTCCTTGCAGACCCAAACCCTCCCGGTTCAATTCAAATCTTGGAGAAGACAACCAGTTATATTAAATGTAGCTGGGAGGAGGCTCCTCAAATGACCAATGCATCATTCAACTATGTACCGACTATCACACAATCCCTGCAAGATGTGAACACCTCCATTATCCCTCCTGGAATAACAAGAGATCATTTTTTTAATTTCTCCTTGCTGTTTTCTGGAACGTCCTACAACATTTCTGTAATAACACGAGGACTGATGGGGTTTGAGAGTGAGGCTGTTTACAGCAACATGGTCACCACAAGTAAGGATTTTATTCTTGAACCCTCTCTAACATCTATACCTCTTAGATACTTTTATGATCTGGATTAACAGCTATATATTTTCCATCTTTCTTTTTAACCATCAGGACCACTAATTGTGGAGAATATTATGACTGCTGCTGGGGAAAAGTCTATCAGCATAACTTGGATCAAACCTGCTGATTACAAGAAAACCTATAGTTACATTGTGACCTGGCAAAAATCAAATGGGACTTTTAATTCTATGGATACATCTGATACTAAATCTACCATCAATGACCTGGTGCCTGGAAGCCAGTATAACATCAACGTCACCACCAAGACCTCTGATGGAACGCAAGCTGCCCCCCAAAATGTTTCTATTTGCACAAGTACGATCACGGCAACCTAAATGTCTGATTCACTGTTTCTGCCTAGTTTTTTCACGCTTTTCTATGTGTTTGTTTTTTATTTGTGCTTTCATAAAAAATACCAAACGCAAGATTATTCTAAAGACAAATAAAGGGTTTTAGGCATTTTACTTTCTAGTTTCATATTATATGGACTTATTTTTTTATCTACTATCCTGTATTATTCTTACATTAAGCAAAATAAATCATTGTTAAAAATAAACAAGAGGAAAAGATATCTGAATGTAAATACTGTGTTTTGTTATAACAATTCTATAATACAAATTTGTATTTTTTTCTCTGTTCTGCAGATGCTAGCCCTGTTAAGGATTTGAAATGGTTTGGGCCAAACTCAGGAAATGCAGAACTCTATTTCAACTGGACTAAACCTGAAGGAGAAAGCTCTGGCTTCCAGTTTAGTTTAATAGACAGCTCAAATACCATCCAGTCCAGCCAGTATAACAGCATTGCCTCTTGTTGTCAGCAAAACATTTCCAATCTTCGTTACAACAATCATTATAATGTTACTGTGAAGACACTGAGCTGTGGATTACCGAGCACTCCTGTGGTTCTTAGCTGCCTCACAGGCATCACATGTAAGTGGGTCTTTTTTTTTTGGTTCTTCATAATTGCATGATTGTATTTGTTGATACACATCACCTGCCGCCTTTCCTGCAAGAGTTTTAGATGAAAATCATCTTATATTAAGAAACAACAGGTTTATGTGACGTTAAAACCTTGAAAATAACATTTTTTGGCCATCTCATACGGTCACAACAGACTGGTGCTGGTGAACCCAGTGGCGCAGGCTCAGGATAAATGTAAAATAAAGACTTTATTAACAAACAAAAGAGCTGACAGGGCAGCAAAACAAACATGGTTGATCAGGAGGCACTCACATAACAGACAAGTCATCACCAGTGGACAGAAGACAATGCCGAGACAAGGGAAAAGTCACACATACAGTACAGGCTTAAATACACATACTGACGAGGACTAACATACAACACCTGTCGGGTCCACAGGTGTAGGGAATAGGGTAATTATGAGACACAAGGGAGCAGGACTGAGACTGGGAATCAGGCAGACACAAAACATGAACATGACACAAGATAGAGCCAGAGACCAAGGAAACACAAACCCTACACATGTAATAAAGCTATACCTCATGTGATTTTGAACGATCTGTTTGTGCTTAGCTTATGTGCTGTGAATGACTCTTAGCTACCACCACACCAATATTTAGGTTAATATTTGTAAGACTGACTGTTTTAGCCATTTTTGTGTAGGCTAAAGTAAAGTAGCTGTGGCAACCATCTTGAATTGGTTGGACTTCAAAAGTTTAATCAGTGGTAGATGTACATCAAGCAATTACATTCTGAGAGGTTCATTGAAATTCATGCACTGGTTTAGAAGATATTTTGCAAACCGACTATAGGAGTTGACTTCACTCGTTGTGGTCAAAGTATATTTTGGACCCAGTTATTACTCAAAATTTGTAAAACTGAATTGTTGCTATTTTTGTGTTTACTAAGGTCAGTTGGCTGTGGCAGCCGTCTTGCATTGCAATATAATCTAGCAGTAAATATCAGCCTATTGATGGTTTTCTGACCATTTCATTAAAATTAATTTAGTGGTTGACAAGATCTTTTAATGGTACAAACACACACAGACAGGCAAAAACTTTAACAAAGATTCATAATAACTTTTTAAAATGTAATTAACTTTATTTTAGCATCTTTACTGAAAAAACAACCCCGAATAACTTATTGGATGTAAAAAAGTTAAGTCTAGTCCTCTGGATATTCAAAAAACAAAACGAAGCAAAACAAAAAAAAATGTAGAAACGTTTCTACATTTTTTTGGTTTTGCTTTGTTTGGTTTTTTGAATGTCCAGAGGACTAGACTTAACTTTTTTAGATTTTTCTACCTGGATTATTGAGCATGCATCAGGAAACTTATTGGATGATTTCTACTTTTCAATTTCCTCAGTTGATCTACTGGACAGTATTACCACTACCTGTGATTTTAATGCAATTGAATTTTTTTCTTTTCCTGTTGTTTTGAAGCTCCACCCATTCCACCAAACTACGAATTATTAGCACATGTGAATTCAACGTTGCACAACAAGTTCACGGTTAAAATAGATCCCGGACTGCTGGACGACAGCCACGGGCCAGTCACGCATATCGGTATTCTCATAACAAGTGACGAAAATAGTATGTTTCTTCTTTTCTTCTTTTTTTTTGTGTGTGTGTGTATAAATTAAATTCTGTTCAATTCAGTTTATTTATATAGTGCCAATTCACAACAAAGTTGTTTCAGGCACTGAACAGGAACATTCACATACGTAGAAAAGCCAATAAGTAAAGTTCTCTAATAAAGGAAGCCAGCAGACACGTTGAATCTTCACTTCGTTGCAGTCTCCCATCCTGAGCAAGTACCGTGGCAACAGCGGAAAGGAAAAACTCCCTTTTAAAAGGAAGAAACCTCCAGCAGAACCAGGCTCAGGACAAGCGGCCATCTGCTTTGACTGGTTGGGTTTGAGAGGACAGGAAGGAGAGACAAACAAACACAGAATAGCTGGTCCAAATATACAGTAGGTGCAGGTGTACCTGAAAGACAAAAACACATGTCAAGGATAGAAAAAAAATTACAAATACAAAGTAGGTTGAGCAGAGTAAGTAAAGACACTCGTATAGAGAAGAAATGTGGTCAACTTGTCCTCCAGCAGTCTAAGCCTATAGCAGCATAACTAAAGGATAGCTCAAGAAACCCAAGCCAACTCTAACTACAAGATTTATCAAAAAGGAAAGTCTTAAACCCAGTCTTAAAACTAGATGATGTGTCAGCCTCACGAACAAAAACTGGAAGTTGGTTCCACAAGAGAGGACCCTGATAACTGAAAGATCTTCCTCCCATTCTGCTTTTGGAGACTCTAAGAACCGCGAGTAAGTCTGCAGTCTGAGAGCAAAGTGCTCTATTAGGAAAATATAGAACAATAAGATCTTGAATATAAGATGGAGCCAAATTGTTGAGATCTTGGTAGGTTAGAAGCAAGATTTTGAATTATATTCTGAATTTGACAGGGAGCCAATGGAGAGAAGCTAAAACTGTAGAGATATGATCTCTTCTATCAACTCTCATTAAAATTCTGACAGCAGCATTTTGGATCAGCTGAAGACTTTTTAAAAAAGTTTTTGGACACCTATATAGTAAACAATTGCAATTGTCCAGCCTAGATGTGATAAATGCACAAATGTTCTGTTCGTCTGACCGTTTCTGAATTGTCTCATTTGTATCTGCAACTTTAATAATGTTGCTTTATTTAAACAATTATCGAGGGAGGAAAACAAACAAACGTGCTTTTTAACAGTATTTTTGTTTCTCTCCAGCTAAAGAATCTGCTGATAAGATTGACCTGGAGAGAACGTATAACAACTGGAGATCCAAAACTGCTCCTGTGTATCTGGCAACAATTGAAAACCGCACCAACAACTTGCAGGGGCGCAGCAGTGCGAGCTCTCTGGCGTTCGAATTGGGAAGTGGAACTACATGGAATGACTACAGTAACGGTGCTCTGGATCCCTCTGGGACTTACAAGTAAAAATCTAAACTTCGTTGTTTTTCAAAAACATCTCCAATTGCCAAAAAAATACACATAGGAATAATATATTTTGCTATCACATATAGCAGCACGGTGGCGCAACTGGTAGAGCTGCTGCCTCTCAGCGAGCAGGTCCCTGGTTCAAATCCTGGTCCGGGGGCCTTTCTGGGTGGAGTTTGCATGTTCTCTCCGTGCATGCATGGGTTTTCTCCGGGTGCTCCAGTTTCCTCCCACAGACCAAAAACATGCATGTTAGACTGATTGGTAACTCTAAATTGTCCCTAGGTGAGAGTGAATATTTGTTTGTCTCTGTGTCCCTGTGATGGACTTGCAACCCGGGTAAAAGATAATGGATGGATGCTATTGCATATATTTTTTTTAATTGCCCAGTGCTGAAAGTCAGAGGCGGGGGACACCTTAGGCAGGTTACGAGTCCATCACAGGGACACATAAAGACAAACGAGACAACTATTCACTCTCTCCCTCACACCTAGGGACAATTTAGAGATACCATTCAGCAAAACATGCATGTTTTAGGTCTGTGGGAGGAAACCGAAGTACCCGGAGAAAACCTATGCATGCACAGAGAGAACAGGCAAACTCCACTAGAAACGTCCCCAACTGGGATTCGATCCAGCGACCTATTTGCTGAGAGGCAACAACTCTACCAACTGAGCCACCATGCCAACCACAAAATGCAATAACACAGTCAATTTTACAGATATTCTGCTGAAATTTGGTGGGGCAGTGTCTAACCTATCTGCACCACATTCTTTATGGCTAAAAAAATTGCACAAAACTTTTTTTTTTTGCCATTGACTATTTTGAGTAAAAATCTTGTCTGTTAACAAAATATCTTGTGAACCACTAAAGAGATTTTAACAAAATCTTCAGGATATAATCAATGGATATACTGTACATGATACATGATTGTATCATTGATTTTAGTTGATTTTATCATTGATTTTAGTTGATTTTATCACTGACTTTAGTTGATTTTATCACTGACTTTAGTTGATTTTATCACAGATTTTAGTTGCACTCTGTAGCACTTTGAGATTTTTGTTAATGAAAATGCGTTACAAATTAAATTTATTATTATTATTACATCTACAAATGATCACCTTTTGGAATCAATCCAATTCAAGATGGCTGCCACAGCTAACAAAACATAGAAAATGGTTTTATTTGCGCCAATTTAACATATATTGTATACACAATACGACATAATTCACTAATTTGGTGTGGTAGCAGCTTAAGCTGTTTGCCTGAATTCTTTCTTTAAACTTGAGCCTTGACTGTTGGAGATAGTCCCTGTTTTTCTGTTAGCAAAATATATCATGATCCAACTCAAGAAGCTAATCAATATTAGAAAACACATACTTAGTCTATTGTATAGATATTGAGCTTAAGTTTAGTGCAGTAGTAGTGGAGAGTCATCGCCAACACATACTCTGAAGACATTGCTTTATCTTGTGCGTGGCTGAAGGTGAAACTATTTTCAAGCTTTGACAGAAACAGCTCAAACTGCAACATTTCTCATCAAAAAGTGATTTTAGTCTAAAACTTTTGCACGTAAAGCGATGGATAGGCCTTTGATTTACAGTATTTTTTTTAAATAGTTTTATTTTGATCATTCTATCACTCATATTAAAATTTAAACATGTCTGAGTCACATTGTATATTTAACTAGTCTAGCTATTATTACTGAATGGATGAGTTTAAAATAATGAGTAAACAGAGATTAGTGAACAAACAGTGCATGAAGTTGCATAAATGAGTTTAAATGATCTGAACTGTGGTCATTTTTAATCCTGCAGATACGCCGTTGTGATTTTCACTTTTTTGAATACGAAACCGAATCTTGTGAACTCCCAAACTTCAATCTTCTCAATAACAAAATTCAGTCCTACTGTGACACTATCAAAGGATCCAGGTACCGTTTGTGAAATCAATTGATTTGACTTTTAAAAGTTCAATTATTTACTTGATGCTTTGAACTAGACCTCAGATTTTATGTTTCTGTTATTGTCCTTGCCAACATTGTAGCTGTCACTGCCATTGCTGTCGGAGCAACACTGGGAATTTTTGGAATTCTCTTCATCATCCTCATGGGCTTCATCATCCACTCGAGAAGGTTCATTATCATTTTTACTGATGAGAAATCCTACTAAGACATTGCGTGTGCACACACTCTAAACTCAATGTTTATGTGCTACAGTTTATCCAGTAAAGAGTCATCAGACCTCCAGATTCAACCCATTAGGTGAGTTTTTATGTTTTACCACTTTATTGTTTTGTATTTAAAATTTTTGATGACAATTCTTTCTTTAATTGTTCTTTTTTTCTGCTTTGTTTTTTTAGAGCCAAAGTGTAAGATTCAAGCCTTTACATTCTAAATATTACAATTTTTGCCATTTATTAAGTTGTTTTCCAAACAAAACTAATTATTTCCACCTGACCTGTGCTGTACGTTTGAACAGGAGTGCAGCTGTGAGGGTGGAGGATTTCGAAATTTACTACCGGAAGCAGAAAGCAGACTCCAGCTGTGGCTTCGCTGAAGAATTTGAGGTGAAAAATAAATGCTACTTATATTGGTTTCTAGTTGGAGGAGTGGTGGCACTGAGGCTAGAGGAGATGGGCCTGTGAGCCGGAAGGTCGCCAATTTGACTCCCTGGATTGACAACATCAAAATGTTGGTGGGAAAGGTGAAGCACTCTGGGACCTTGAGCAAGGCCCTTAACCCCCACCATCTGCTCCCCTGGGCCCCCCAGCTGGCAGCTCTCTGCTCCAGACAGAGGGCTGTGGTAGCTCGGTGGTCTGTGGTTGCGTCAGGAAGGACATCCGGCGTAAAAACAATCGCCAAGTCTTCGTGCAAGTTATTTTGCTGTGGCAACCGCTGAAGAAGGGATCAGCCAAAATAAGAAAAAATATATTATTGATTTATAGTTTGCAAATTCATTTAATCATATCAGTCAAATATTTCTTAATACATATATAAATATCATTCACATAAAATGTCCATCAAATCTTAAAAAGGAATTTAAGCAACACAATGTAATTAAGTGTAATAAAATAAAATAACTATGGTACTTTAAATGTTGCCTTTACCTGAGAATTTTATCTGATTTTTTTTTAAATTAATTATAACTCAAAAAACAATAACATTTTAAATCCAAAATGTAGAAAAGGAGCATTTAATTTAATGATTCCAACAAAAATCAGTTTACAGTTTTTATAAGAATTATGTGTGCCACTGGGATTAACAATACAATTTAAACATGAGCGCAGATTTGAGTGTTTTCACTCCGTGGTCTGATGTGGGTGGCCATTGTTGTTTTAATTAATTAACTGTCAAAATTGAGACTTGTAAGAAAAAGTCATTTTACTGTTACATTGTGCTGAAGATGGCAATGGCAACATAAAAGTGTTGCTGGATAACACAATAAAAAAAAAACATATACAGGATGAAATAAGAAGATTTATGCTTGAACAAATATGATTATTTGACTAACATAAATCTGGATCCCATCTGTAAAACATGGAAGAGACAGTATCATGATTAGAGCGTTTATTCGTTGTTTATCCATTTTTCGTTGTCTATACTTTTTGCTACAAGACAAGTCTCTATCCTCATTGTTCATTTTAGAAAGGTCTGAAAACATTTGGTTAAACATCTTTACATGACCTCAGTTTCAGGGGACATTGGGAAACTCTAAAATTAATCTGGAAATGAACTGGGAGCCAGTGTAGTGATTCTAAAACAGGGGTGATGTGCTCTCATTTTCTGGTACCAGTTAAAAGGTGAGCAGCAGCATTCTGAACCCACTGAAGTTGAGTCAGTAATGACTGGCTCAGACCGACATAAAGTGAATTATAGTCTAGACGAGTGGTAATGAAAGTATGGATTAAAATCTCAAAATGATGATGTGACAGAAATGGTTTGACCTTGGCCAGTTGTCTCAGGTGATAAAAACTAGACTTGATCACTGATTTAATCTGTGCATCAAGTTTAAAATCACTGGCCAGCCACACGCCCAGGTTAGATGCTGTCTCAGTCAGATGTTGTGTTAAAGGACCCAGATCAGCAAGGACTTTGGAACCATCACTGGGCTAAAACAACAAGACTTCAGTCTTTTCTTCATTAAAATTAAAAAAAGTTCTGTGACATCCATGCTCTGAATTCTGCCATACATTCCAGGAGTTAGTTCATGGATTAACACATATAACTTCAGTATGTGTAAAGTTGCTGTTTTTAATTTCTTTTGTAATAAAAAAAATAAAATCATTATTAAACAACTTTCTTTTTTCTTTCCTAGGATTTGAAACCTGTTGGTATAAGTCAGGCAAAAACCCACGCACTGGCTTTGGATAACAAGCCTAAAAACCGCTACAACAACGTACTTCCTTGTAAGCCACATTAAATAGATTTTTGCTGCTTTTGATACTAACACTCCTCATTTTTCTAACAATATTTATCATCACCTGCAATTCATGACCATTTTCACTTTCTGTAGGAACTTGTTTTTTCAAGATCTATCAGCGCAGTAAATGAAAAAAAGAAACCAATATCTTAATCACATTTTTTTCATTTACATCTATATTCATTTCTAGATGACTCTTCAAGGGTGAAACTCTCTATTATCCATGGAAGCCCAAATGAAGATTACATCAATGCTAACTACATGCCGGTGCGTACTTACACTATTTAACTCTGCTCCCAGCTTCAGTCTATAAACATCATTTGGAACAATGTAACTCATATTTTCCTTAATATCATTCAGCTTGAATATTTCCACCTTCATCCACATTCAGAAAATCATCTTTAAAATATTACTTAAGAGATATTTACTGTTTGATTTTTTTAATGTCAGGGTTACCTCTCCAGGAAAGAGTTTATTGCAGCTCAGGGTCCTTTGCCTGCAACAGTCAGTGACTTCTGGAGGATGATCTGGGAGAAGAACGTGCTGACTCTCGTCATGCTGACACGCTGTAATGAACAAGGAAGAGTAAGTACAAACACACAAAACAACTAACTTACACATACCATATCCCTGAGATTAGTGCCATGAGAAAATTTATTATTTCAGTGCAACCACAACCTTACTCCATAGAAAAAGAAACAAAGAATAGCTAAAGTATAACAAACTAGAGAACTTGCATTTCCTAAGAAAATGCAGTGTGAATGCTTAGTGCTGAAGAACTTGCAGAAAAACAGCTGAAATGAGCTAAAAAAAGAGCTGAAAAGTAGCTGAAAGGCAGAAAGAAGTTTATACTACAAGTAGGAAGCGGTAAGACCTGAAATGAGCTCATGAAATGTGTAATTATATGAAAAAGATCAAGTTAGTATAAAAACAGCTATATAGTAGCTGAAAAGGCAGAAAACGCTGAAACTAGCAGAACTAAGCTGAAAGAAGCATAACAAGTTGAAATTAGCTGAAAGATTTAATTATGCAGAAAGTAGCAGAAATTGCAACGAAAAACTTGATTGAAAAAGGCTGAAATTAACTAAAAATGCTAAAATTGTAGCTAAAAAAGCAGAAAGAAGCCCAATTTAGCAGAAGGAAGTGGAGAGAGCACCATTTTGACCAATTAAGCTGAAAGAAGCAGAACTGAGCACAAAAAGTGGACGTTATCTGAAAAAGCTGAAATGAACACAAAAAAACAGCTGAAAAGTAAATAAAAAAGCAGAAAAAAACCTTAACTACCAGAAGGAAGCTGAACGAGCTGAAATGAGCTCAATGTGGAATTAGCTGAAAAAAGCTAAAATTAACATAAAAACAGCTAAATAGTAACTGAAAAAGCAGAAATAGCTGAAAGTGGCATAAATAAGCCGAAAGGAGCATAACAAGCTGAAATTAGCAGAAAGAAGTTCGAAGAAGCACAACAATGTTGTAGTTAGCAGAAAGAATCTGAAAGGAGCACAACACAGCTGAAAAACAGCTGAAAGTAGCTGATAGAAAATGTAAATTTGCACAAGAAAGCTGGAAGAAGCTGAATTAGAACAAAATGTGAAAGGAGCAGTAAAAGGTTGTAAACACATCTAAAGATTTGAAGGATGTAAAATAAACTCAATTCATTTTCCATGAGGAAAAAAAATGGCAGAAAAGGCTAAATATTTCAAAAAGCTAAAGTCGCACCAATACCAAAAGTCATAGCAGGATTGTCCTGAAAGAGCTGAATGTTTTGATATATGATTTGTTGAAATAGCACAAAAATTGTGGAATGAGAAAGATGCTGAAAATGTATAGAAGAAAAATGGATCACAATAGAGTGAATGATTCATAAACATTCACTTTGTTACAGTTTGAATATTTTTCAAACACCACGAAGTAAAAGATTACATTGATTCTAAATTTAAAAAGCCTACTGTAATTATAGCTGTCATTATTTGACTTGATGTTTATGAAAAGTATGCTTCAGTAAATGTTAAACCAACCATAATTTATTAGTTAAATATGGCGTTACAAATTGCAGTTTGCTTGAATTGAGATCGTTATGATTTTATGGATACTTAAAGTTTGTTACGATTGTATTGCCATCTTTCCTCCTAAGGTTAAATGTGAGCAGTACTGGGATTCTGGCACCAAGCACTATGAAGACATCACTGTGACTACAACCTCTGAAATAGCACTGGAAGACTGGACCATCAGGGACTTTGACGTTAAAAATGTAGGTGTTAAAATGATGAATCTGGAAAGTAAAACATTTAGAGCCAAAATCACAGATTTTATTCTACTATGATCTATTATGATCTCAAAAGAAATGTGCAGACAGGCTGCTTTAGTTTATGCCTACAGTGAAGTTATTTAAGATGCTCCACTGTGTACATAAGTTTTTTAAACAGCGAGGTTTAAATCCTTTTTTTAAATATTCCCATGTAAACTGTATGACTTTAAGGTGTATCAGATTAACTGTAACTTGAAACAAGTAGGATTTCTGCACTCTTGAAAAGTAGAAATTTTGCTTTTAGTGTTTTTTCCAATTCTGGAAATACACCAAAAAATATAGATCATGAGCAAATACAGTATATACCGGTATATATATTTCCAGAATATTTTCAGTGATTCATTTTCCAAGGAACAAAAGTGAGATTTTCTTTAATATTTTACTCAAACAAGTGTTGTGATTTATACAACGTGAAACATAAATGAAGGAACAACGCCATATTTTGCATCAGCTTCCACACCAAGTTTTGGTAATAACATCTTGCCATCAGTATCCTGTTCTTTTGAGCTACTGATGGAGAACCCATCACCACACACATACAGCTTTACAGGCATCGTAAGTGATAGAATAATAATAAATTGTGTAAACTCTAAGACTTTTCATAGTATTTGAAGCATACAGATGATACAACCCAGACACTTCACTTGTAAATGTTTGTGCTTGAATGTAAACAATGACTTTAAAACCAGTTTAAACATCTGGAAATCTGATCCAAGAGACGTCTGGAACTTTAAAAGGAAATGTGTACATCTTAACACTTCTGCCAAAGGGCTAGAGGGGGACTGGGTGGGTATTTTGTAAGGATATTTTTAAACAGAACAAAATAGGGAATTACCGTACTTGCCGCCAGACACGTTGCACCACTGTATAAGTCGCATCAGTCCAGTCTAATAAAGTGGAAAAAAAACATAAATATGTCGCTTTGCCGTATAAGTCGCATCTATTATGCATCACAGCTGACGCGTCACGTTTGTTATGCGTCACCATTAAACCCGGAAATGTGGGTCGGTGTTGTGCCAAAAATACATTGGCAGCCAAATGGCAGCCGTGAGAGCGTGCACGGGACGACTTTAACAAAAATTTTACAAGATTAACACTTAAAAACAATTATTTGTTTGCTCGAAATTATAGTATGTCTCAGTTTAACTTTTTCTTAATAAATGCACTTTGACAGTCAAATCAGCTGCATTTCGCCTGGGCGGCACAGTGAAATGCAGCTGATTTGATGTTTGCTCCAGGAGTCTGGAGCGAGATGAAGGTGACTACTTGAGCAAGCCAAGTGTCTCATTAATAGCCAATTTTACCTATTAATGAGACACTTGGCTTGCCATGTCACTCAAGCACCATGTAGTGGCTGAAAATGGTAGTGTTCAATATTTTCCATGTCAGAATGAATTAAATCGTCAAGATCTCTACCAAAAATTGGGTTATAAATATGGGGGAAAAACATCAGTACGTCGCTTTGCTGTATAAGTCACAGGTGCTGGTGAAGATTCTCAGTAATCCAGGACATGATGAATTCAAAAAAACGTTCAATACAAAAACAACTGGATTTTATATGTAACAGTGAAACGTCTTCTGTTACAAATAAAGTCCAGTTGTTTTTGTATTGAACGTTTTTTTGAATATAAGTCACAGGCATGCTAATTTATGCAAAAAGGTGCGACTTATACATATACATCTCCTCCTACATGTCTCTGCGTGAGTGCAGCTACGGCGTGCACTCTCAGGACATTATTACCTGCAGTGTTCCCTCAATGAGGACTGAACTAGGCAAGAGGGCCTTCTCCTACTCTGCTCCTGTTTCTTGGAATACCTTACAAAAAGATCTGAAGCTCTCGACCTTGACCTCTCTAAGTGGCTTTAAGAATGTGTTGGACTCCTGGCAGGGACCAATGCTGACATGTTCCTGTTTTTAGTTTTCTATATTCGCCTTAGAATCTAGCTGGGTTTTTTTTTTTGTTACCTTTTTCTTTTAGCCATCCTATTTGTTATTAAAAAAAAAACAAAATAAAAACTGTAGTATGACATTTTACAACTGTTTATTGTTGTTGCTGTTGTCCATTGTTGTCATCTTTCTTTGTTGAAATCAGGTCTCTCTTGTAAATGAGTCCTCGAGGCTCAATGGGATTTACCTGTCTAAATAAAGGTTGAATGAAAATATACAGCGAAAAGTACGGTAGTCATTTAAAATGATCACAAAGTTCCATTTATCCACTAATTAAAATATGAGCATGGAGCTGAAGCCTTTCTCAATCATTGGATGAGAGGCGAGGAACATCCTTGACAGGTTTCAAGTTCAAAAAGACCAACAACCGTTAACACACACACACCCAATTTCATCACATTATAGAGTCACCAATCAAACTAACGTAGGATTTTGGATTGTGGGAGGAAATTGGAGCACCTGGAGAAAACCTGTGGTTGCTGAAAGACTCCAGTTGGGAGCTGAACCTGCAACCTTCTTGCTGTGAGGCAGCAGTGCTCACAAATGGCTACTAATGACTTAGTGTACCTGTATATCTTAGATCCTTGTATACTGTTCATTTTTATACTTCATATTTTTGCTATTTTGGGGTGTAACTGGGACCTTGGATACATAATTTCGTTCCATCTCATGTACCACATGTGATGTGAATGACGATAAAAACCTTGAACCTACACTGTGCATTCTACTGCACAGTTGTTCCTTTGAAACAGTTCCTGGTAGGAGTGGTGCTGTCCAGAACAACAAACCACTCATCCACAGAGGGAAAATTTCAGAAGAAAAAACACAAAAAAACCCACTTTTTTTAAACTAACCCAACTGAATTTATAATCACCAGGGTTTACCCATATAATATAGATGCAAAACACTTTGCAATAAAGCATACATTATTTATTCTTGTCATCTTTTGAGTCAAAGATCTGCAATCTCTTGTATCTTATTAATAAATACTATTTGATTATTGCACTTCTTGTCCTCCAGGTTAAAACAACAGAGGTCCGTTCGGTTCGTCAGTTCCACTTCACAGCCTGGCCGGACCACGGTGTTCCAGAAACCACAGAGCTTCTGATCAGCTTCAGACATCTGGTCAGAGAGCACATGAACCAGTACTCCAGGCACTCCCCCACTGTGGTCCACTGCAGGTGGGGCAAAGCATGCAAATACTCACACTTTCAAATTCTGTTTGAAATACGTGTTTCAGGAATGACCGTGTAAATGGATGTTCTCCTCTCTTCTGTTTGTTTTTTACCCACAGTGCTGGTGTGGGGCGCACAGGCACCTTCATATCCATCGACCGGCTGATCTTCCAGATCGAAAGGGAAAATGTTGTGGACGTTTACGGCATTGTTCACGATCTGCGAATGCATCGACCCCTCATGGTGCAGACAGAGGTAGGACACAATCATGTTCATTCTGCTTTCTGTTTAGACAGTGTGTGAAAGGATTATATCACGGCTCAAAGAGAATTTGTTTTTGTCTGCAGGACCAGTATGTGTTCCTAAACCTGTGCGCCTTGGACATCATCCGGTCGAGGACAGGGACCAATGTAGATCTAATTTATCAAAACACAGCTGCAATCTCAATTTATGAAAATGTAGATCCCAAAAAAGGGTACGGCAAAAGAGAACATTAGACTAGACCTTTAGTGATTTTATATATATATTTTTTTATGAAACAGCAGAGCAAACATAAAGGAAATGGTTTTACCTAATTGTGCTCTGCTGGTTTTTGTACCAGCCACCACATAGGTATGTATTTTCCAACACTGGATGTAAATCTTGCTCTATGTTATATTTATTTGTTGAGAAAAACATGTTGAATGTTTGATGATGGTAGGAATCTACTCAGAGAAATCATACTGAACCAAATCATAAAAAAAAACAGTCACTATATGTAAACATTAGCCTTTTTTTTCTTAGCATATTTCTGCATCCTACAAATGTTTAAGAATACTTCCTACTGTATACGTCTCACTGATTAATCTATTTTGCTCAGGTAGTTTTTATTTTTGTAAACGTTTTTGTATTTTTAAGAGACTTTTGATGAAGAAAAATGCTGGTTAGAAACTTTGTGCCTTTTACATTCTGTACTCTTTAGCACCAGTAGAGGGCACTGTCCTGTATTCATTTAAACAGATAAATAAGAACCAAATATTTCTTTACAAGAACTGTAAATTATTCACATTTTTTGCTTGACTAACAAATTGTGCAATGTGTTTTATTGATGGATTTTATTTGTTTAAGTCTTATTATTTATATGCACTGTGATGTGAATAATGCACTGGATGCATTTGTCCTTGACACTGTCCACTTTAAACAAAAGAGAGATTATTTTTCTATGTGTAGTATTAATTACCTTTTGGCCAGTCCGTCATGAAACGTAATATTTTACCTGCCATATCTCGCCTGATTGTTACAGCTCAGGAACTCTTTGCAAGAAAAACATTTAACTGGTGGTTATTATGTAAAACCAGTATATGCACCCATGTGTACTGTCAAGAAACAAAGTCATTTTCTTTGTTTTGTTTCATAGATTTTGATGGGGGGTAAATTCCCTTGAGCAAACTGTAATGCCTTGTCACTTCCTGCTACATATCTGATCCATGTGTGATCATTTCCTTTTATGTTAAATGCTACAAAGAAGCACAAGCCTTCATTTATTATCAGAATTTTCCATAAGGCAGGTACGTTTTTTTTTTAAATCGTAATTCGTGTTCTGTTTTTTGTTTTAACTGTGCAGTATCTTTGTGTACTTTTAACATGATTAGAAGCACTTACGGTTTAATGAAAAATCCATTTGTCTTTTTTTTTTTTACCCACTTTTCTATTACGGGATGCGGGGAAGCTGGTGCCTATCTCCAGCAATAAATATGAAAAAGTCATTGTAGGATTTTTGAAAATGCTTTACGGGATGCTTGCTGGTTCAATGCAATAAAAATAAAAATAGCTAGAATTTGTTATGTGCATATGTTTCAGTCTGTCAAATAAATGAGATTAAAGATGTTACATTTTGGCACCTGTCTGCTAAGAGAATCCACAAGCTTTAATATGATTAAAGCTTCATCGTCTCACTCAAACGTCTCTGCTGTTATGAATTTTTAACATATGCAGCTGTATTACTCTGACAACATGTACGTTTGAAAACTATCATGTAAATAATTGTTTGAGTTAAACTCAAAGACAAAACGGTTCAAATCAGTAGCGTCCTGCTTGCTGCAGAGGAGGATGAGTTGCTCAAGTTTGCATGATTCAGCGTTGACATCACAGTCCAAAAACTTGGACAAAAACAGCTTACAGCTGCACAAAACACTTCAATGTTTGCAGTTCAAAGCAGGTCGCACACAACATCTCACGCTCATGGTGGTGATGACATAAGATTCTGCCAGAACGTCTGCTTCAGTGAGCTCCTCATTTTCAGTTTTTCCATGTCACTTCTCCACATCATCCATGTTTCATGTCCCTCACATCCACAAGTTGGGTTTAAAAATAGATTTGGCATTGGAGCGCCTCGTCTTGTTTCTTCTGTGAATTTCAATAAAAGCTTTAAAGAGCTGAAGCTGAAGACGATAGTTCAACAACTGCAAAAAGTCATTTTAGACAATAACAGGGGTTGCATTTAATATTAGGATAGTGTTATTCCTAATATAATTCCTGTATGTGTCTTATTATTCTTCATCTTGCAATTGCTAAAGTTTATTTTATTGAGCAGAAATGTTCATTTACTCTATTGATTGTGTTATACTATTTAATCAACTATCTTTAATTTAAATTAACAATATACTTGTAATTAAACAGCATGAGTTGACAGTAAAACATGGATCACTGAAGACAAAAATACAATAAAAAGTAAATTAAAACTAAGGAACGAGACACAAAATTAGATCAAACAATAAAATATGTTCAAACTGCAAAATCTATTAAATTAAAAATAAGAGAAAAATTAAATAAATTATTTAAGAAGTGTTGAAAGCTAAGGAAAACAAGTTCGTTTAGGAATAGTTTTTAAAGCAGACAACAAAGAGACCTGTCTGATATATTTTTATTTCATTTCAGCACATGATTATTTTCAGAAGAATTTATTTTATTTAGATAACCTACTATTCATCTGCTATAGATTGTTTTTTTTTTTAAGTGTGACCTTTTGTAGACTGGTCAAGGTCAAAAACTGGACAGAAAATGAGTGAAAATACAGCCGAAATACAAAGATAATATTTTTAAACTCCCACCAAAAATATAAAAGGTGCCAAACTTTAACTTTTCAATTTTTCTTTTACATTTTAAAAGAGTACCTTTTTTTAACCCAAGAAAATTTGTCCATGATTATTTTATATTCTCCATTGAATATATATATATATATATATAAACCTAGATACATACTATTATTTGTGATCCTGAACAAGTAAATATTTTACTGAAAAGGTAAGACACAGTACAGTATAGGATAAAATAACTGGATGTATTATGATATCATGATCTCCCCCGTGTACATCAACTGCAGCCGGTGCAGTACCGCGCTTTGACCGCAGGTGTCGCCAGAGCTCCCTGTAAGGCACAAGCAGCAGCAGCTCGAGGAACAACCGCAGCAGGAGGATCCACCACAGTCCACCTCGCGCGCTCTCCATGTTGAAACGGAGCAACTTCTGCGGTTCTCCTCAAGCCAGCTGCCTCCCCACCGCTCCCTGCTATGACACCGAACTGGGAAGGAATCAGCAACACTGTATGAGCGCTGCCCTCGACATAAGAAAACGGTAAGTTAGCTCGTGTACCGCTGACCTACTACTACACGACAACAAAACGGGGAGGAGGGTAACCTTCTATTTTTAGTTGCTGCTTGTTGTTTTTTATTCAACCAACGTACGCTTTTATCTGCTAACATATGCTAGCTATGTTCCTTACACGGGAATGAGGATGACTTCAGGCTACGTTCAAGCATCCTATTGTCGCTATAATTTTATTATGTGGTGGCACTAACATCTGAATGTTTTGGTTGTTTGGGCTGTGGCTAACGTTACTAGCCTCGCAACCCGAAGTTAAACGAAGACAACCATCACCTCCACGTTAGCCCCATGCGGCTGCAGTGTTGCTTCCAGCCGTTTGCATGGCAACCATGAGCCCAACCGATGCCAACTGACGGCGGCTGTGAAACAAGGACAAGCTCCTCTCTCACGGTTTACGTCGCTATTGCGATCAAAGCAAATTTGTTAACATTTGGCAAGCTCGATGCGAGAACGTCACTCTGTGCACTAGTATAAGTTAACAACCCGAACGAAAAGGCAGATATGAAAAATAAACAAGTATGAGTATCATTTGTACGTCCAAACAATCTCCATGAAACGTCAACGGCTTTCACTTTCCGACATGTTGCGTTCACTTGAACTCCGAGGAAAATGTTTCATATTTGAAATGAGATGGGTAAACATGTAAACAGTACAGGCCCAACACATCTCCATGATGATTTATCTCCACTTTTAATCAGAGTAATACCAAACCTGTAATTTTTAATAGGTTCACGTTTGATGGTTTTTACACTTTATTGACGCAGCTTTTTAATTTAAATATATATGGCGTTAAATTAAGTGATTAGATAGACAGTAACATTGCTAAACTGCTGTACAGAAGGGGCTAAATTATATCTTTTTAAAACTAATTTAGTAATACTAAAGTGGAATGTTACCAGCTATTACGCAATAGCATGAAATATCAAAGCAAATATGTTCTTGTTTTTAGTATTTTTACCTTCTGCACCTTGATTTATTGTTTTATAACACTAATTTTATTTTAACTGCATTTTTACTGTTGTTTATTGTTTATTGTTATATTGTTTTATGTACTTTGTATGTTCTGTGTGAAACAGGTCTCTTATAAATGAGTCTTCATGGCTCAATGAGGCTAACCTATATACATAAAGGTTGAATAAATTACTATGATTAATCTCGTGACAGAGAAATTACATATAGTATATGACTTCACAACTAATAAATAGTCTGTTAAATAACCTAATACCCTCATTTAATCCGATTTAGTGCTGTTTGTTTTTTGACCCACATCTGCTCTCAGCATCTGAATTTCACAGACATAAGCTTAATAAGCTTATTAAGAAATAACAGCAGAATTTATTTTTCCCATCAGCTTGAGCCCTTTTGAAAGTGCTGCTAAATTGGTAGTAATGGGAAATACATTTTCTGCTAATGTTGAAACAAACAGTAGCAAGACTGGGGGAAATTTTTAGATACTTTATCAACTTGCCAGAAAGTTTTATGATAAGTAGATTATTGTGTGTGTGTGTGTGTGTGTGTGTGTGTGTGCACGTGCGTTGGCCTGTACTTGTGATATTAGTATATGCAAAGATAGAAAATAAATTCAGATTTACCGTATCTGTGCCACTTCACCTGCACAACTTAATTGTGCTCTGTCTCTAATCTATATCTAAGCCCACCATTTAAGTTGAACACTGAAGTATTCTTCAGTTAACATTTACAAGAGTTTCTGAGTTTTTTTCATTTCAAATACAGGGAAAGAAAATCAGAAGTGAGAGTAAGTACAGGAGGAAACGATTATCAAAAATGCCTGAGTGTATCATGTTCAGTGATACCTGGGAATTTGCACTGAAGACACAAAAGATGTTTCGGAAGCCTGCCTTTAGTTTATTTCTTTCTCTTTCTGTCTGAGCTCTGCACAGCCTTCTTTTGTAGTTCATATGCAGGTTTCCTGTCATCTGTTGGAATTTTTATTCACCCCAACGTTTAGAAATAAAAGGCAAATGGGTTATTTTAATATTTTCTCTTCCCATCAGTCTGGCTTAAGGAAATGACAAAGCTCAGTGTTTGCTTCAGTGAAGGTTTTTAATGATGATGTTGAGACATTGGATGCCAAGGACTGTTGTGTTGAACTTAACTTTGACCTGTCCAAATCATTTGTTACTGTGTAGATCTAAGGTATCTTTACCAAGAGACTCAGATATCTGCTTCTCAGGTCATATTATTGGCTGGTTTTCTAACTACATCTCAGGTCAAAGAGATCGGTGTTTTGGCAAGCTGTTTTAGGACTGTCTCTTTTTACAATCTATGTAAACAATGTGGGTCAGCATATTCCTGAAGTCTCTCTCCATCTTTATGATGACAATACAATGGTTTATTGTCCTGCTAACATGGTTGCCAAGGTTTTTCAGTACCATCTCTACCTTAGTTCGCTAAGCTTTATAACTGCTTGTAACCACCTCACCTATCACCACTGTGGGCTCGTTGGTCGGTTGCTCACTATCCATATGTAGGCTGTTGCATTTGTAAGGATCCCACTGCCTGCAGCCTGCCTTGCTGATGGCCGCTGAT